GCCAATTAGTTAATTTCTTAAATTGTCTAAACCATAATTAAATTTACATTATTTTGACGATGTATTGCGCGAAACGTTCAATATATTTTCCTGCGTTCAGAAGTACTTGAGTAAGTAATGATAATTTTTGAAAAAAATTGGAAAAACATTCCGACAATGTATTAATTGAATGAGAAAATAGATGGATTAACTGACGACAGTGAAAATTTAGGTTCAATTTAACGAAGATATCATTAACGAAATGTGCTACTTTACGGACATATCAAAGGAGTTTACCGAGGAATCACTAGAAGAGCTGTACAACGACGAATCTTTAATGCTTTTGTTCAAAGAAAGTGCAAGAACCGAAATTGAGGACATTGATGATACAATTCTCAATATGATTTACGGTGCTATAAGAAAACCTCCTGGAACCAAGGAAAGTATTGCTCAGAAGCTAATTACTGAAGAAGAACAAGAGCAGGAAACACAGACTGAAGAAAAAGACAAAGGTAGTAGTAAATCACACATGTCTACGAAGTTTCGAGGATGTGAACTCAGTACACGCAGATTGGGGAAAATATTTCAGTTAAAAAAGAATCAGGCAACGTTGGAATTTGGGTTCCACCAGATGCATCAGTTCGAGCCACTGTTCTCAGAATGTTTTTCCCCAAGGTTTCCGGCGATTTTACTATTCCGGAACCCGCCCCTGAACCCGAACATTTAACCATTATATTTCCATTGAACAAAAAAGATGAGGTAAACAATAACTGGTTGATCACTCTTTCACAGCACTGAACAAAATTTAACGTAAAAATGACTGAGCTTAAGCATATTAACACATACAGGCCCTGCAAGTGATGCATCAATACCCCGACGAAATAATGAAACATGGATTGTTCACTAGTGAAAATTACGAAGACACAACGTTGGTAGCAAGAAACTTTAAGCAACTCGATAAGCTAGTTCCTAGTGAGAGAACATAGTAAGTTGATGAAAAGTATTTATCTTTTGGTCAGCTTTCGAAGCGTCCAGCTTAACTTAGTTTCCAATTAGATTCTAGTAAAGTCTATTCATACTGTTCAAATAACATTTAAACAATGGATACAGTTATTGCCCAAGTTTACGTTTCAATGCTGAATTCCTGATAAGATGTTAAAGATTCCCGTTAAGGTCTCAAATCAGCCGTGTCTGTCGAGCCAATTGGGAATCTTAGACACCCCGCTAAGCGGTACAACTGCTCGAATTTCATGACAAGCGTGAAAGCCTTGATGCAATTGGTGATTGTTTTCGTTTCCAAGCAGTTCACTTAACAGAATGCACTATATACCAAATGTCTACTACAAAGAGCATTGTTAAATCAGTAGGGCAACAATTGACTATTGAGCAAAAAGCAAAACATAACTGTGCTCGGCTACTTTTTTCACTGTTGAAAGTTTAAGTCTTTGAAGCGACCACCCAACAGAGCCGAGCACAGAGCGTGGGAAATATCCTGTTTCCCTCACCCGGCACTTCTGATTTCCTCTTTATCTCGAAAAAGTGACCAGAGATCATCAGTTCGTATTCACACCTCAAGTCGATCACAGTTTGTATTCTCACCTGAAGTCGAACATCAGTTTTGTATTCGCACTTCAAGTCGGCCACAGATTGTATTTTCACTCGAACACAGTTTGTTGTGTCTCCTCAAGTCGAACACAGTTTGTATTTTCACTCGAACACAGTTTGTTGAGTCTCCTCAAGTCGTAGATAGTTTGTAATTTCACCTCAAATCGTACACAGTTAGTTGTTTCTCCCCAAGTCGTACAAATCGGGAGTGTTTCGCCTCAAAGCAATACACATCGCAGACTCTGGCAGAGAAGTGCCTCAAAACCCAACCCGTAATTATTCACCCTC